GTGGTAGCCCGGCGCTTTGCCAGCGGCTCTGAAAACGCTCTGGCCAGCAACTGACACGCCCACACGTAGATATATAAAGCACATAGACGCCGCCACTGTCAGTGACACGGCTTGCCTCCTATTCCCCCTCTTAGTCGCCTTCATTTTTTTCTATTCGGCCCGTGGTTGTTGGCCCTCTCTATTGGCTACTGCACAGAAAAAAAATGAAGGAAATGGCCATCTTGGCTAACAGATCAGAATATACTTGTGGAAACTATTGCACTGCGACATTTGTTTCTTGACTTGGTTAGACTTTAACAACTCTGAGAATTCATTAAATATAATTCAAAAAATTTAGAAATTGAGTTCCACTAATTTATATGAATTTGCAGACAGAAACAGGGCGATATGTTTCCTTTCATTCAAATGTTACTTGACATTGATTCTGTTTGTTGGCCGTCGCAGCAATCTGGTTTGCGCTTTACGTGCTTAAGTATATATTTAACTAAATAGATTAATAGTAGAAGCTATTTATTACAAAATAATAACAATTATCTAATGAAAAAGGTCGGTTAAACTAATAAAATATATATTTGTATAGCATAAATAAGAATATAATCGTCTAATTCCAAGTGATATTAAAAAGAAAAACTAATTTTATGAATTATTATTATTATTTTTAATGGGTAAATGTTTATCGTAGTGTATTTAATTATACAATCTATTAATTTATTAGATCTATATTCACTGATTGTACTTTTCTTATAATGTCCATTCCATTCCGTCAATACTTGACTTTTGCATACAAAGGTTTTTTCCAGCATATGTATGATCTAGATTAATAAGTAGTGAGGTATATATTTTTATCCAAACATAAAGATAAAAATGATCAAAAAATATCAATTAAATCTAGATGGTATTTTTTTCCGTGTGGCTGCTGGATGACTGTATGGGCTGCCGGTGGTATGCGCATCGTGACGTTTCCGCTTTTATGGACATTTAGATGCAAAGTTCTGGCATAAAAATGGCGTGGCAGATAATTTTCATAATTTTCAACTACATTTCATTGTGAAACTGTGCGGCGGTGGCACCGCTGTTGGAGGTGGCGGAGGCTGGCGACGGGAAGGTTGTCCTTTCCTATTCTGTCCTGGTCTGGCTTTCAACTGGCTCGTTATTTCCATTTTTATTTTCGTGTGACACTAAAAAGGAAGCGAAAAGTCAAAGTCGTACCAAGTTGGGTTTTTATTAGCGTGCTGCTTGCATTTCATTTGTCCTTTTTGCTTGGGCATTTTACTGTGCAGCTTTGTATAGCTCGTTGACACCGTCTGGGGGCTGGGGGCGACAGATAGTCGACGACTTAAGCGCCGGCAGTGACAGTGTATTATATTTTATTAGCTATGCTTGCAAATTTATGATCTCGACTATAATCGCACTCCCTAGGCCTTAATAGTTGCTGCGACAAATTGTTAGTCTTAGTGAGCTTAAAGTGTGCAATTATATTGCGAAAAGTGTTAACATGGAAACACTCAATAGTTGGATGTTGTACAGCATGTGTGTGGCGTCAAAGACTGTTCGCTAAGCATATGCAATCAAAATGGAAGTGTAACCAAGTTACCTAAACGCATTACGTGGCAGACAGCCGTTACAATGGTTCACACACACGCACACGCACACTCACACATAAACGCACACAGGCCCGACTTGCGAATGTGAGCGTTGCACGCTCACGAGGCAAGCGTTGTGCGAACACCTTACGCCTTGCCCCATTAAGTGGTATGCATATGCACGTTATGGCGCCTACTTGTATGCTACACTTTGCGTTCCCAACAACAAGTGTTGGGCAAGTACTCGCAGTATGGGTGCTTAGCGTAATGTCTGTTGCTTTGCTACATTTGTTTTTATGCAGCAGTAAATAGTGTAAAGGTGTAACGAAAGCAAAAACAAAAGCAGAAACAACTTATGCAAGCTCTATCGAATTTTGCATACTATGATTGTGTGTCCTTTAACTTGGCAGGATTTTGCTTTGTGTTTGCAACGTCTTATGCGCCACCTGAATAGTTTATGTTTTATTGAAAGTTTTCTTACATTTTTGACACCATCACTATGAATGAGCTCTACCTGCTCTCTGCACCCTACACTCACTATGTTTATGACTTAAAGACCGTGTTGCGTAATTTACATACTCCAGCAGATATCTTCACATGTCTTTGAGTGAGTTTGAGCATTTCAAGAACATTTGTTTTTCCCATATAAAATGTTAAATGAAAACAGCTCATGCTTCAATTTGTGTAATACTTATATTGTATAGTACAATTTGTTCTAAATATTCTTTAAATATAATAAAATAATTTTTTTATACATATTTTCAGAATTAAAGTTCTTATACTGAAGAAAATTCAAGAAAAGGCTACGCTATTATAAATAGTTTTGATTACATGTTAAGGTTTCTTAAAAGTTATAAATAATTTAAATAAACAGCACTGCAATTTGCTGAAGGAACCAAATCAGAGAACGGTTTTAAAAAATTGAATTGAATTGAATTGAAAAGAATAAAAATAAAAATTGTCCTCATGCTTTTTTCCTGCAAATATTGTTTATGCAATTGGACTTGTTTCGGTTGAGTTAAAAGTGATGGATTTTTTACCTAAAATACATATTAAAGGAGTTTTAAGGTTCTGCTAATCGAATCTATAACCCTATTTCTGTTTCAAGCTCAGATCATTTTTGTTCACTGAAAGGTATTTTTAGCGGAGCAATCTTCAATGCTGAACTTCATGAAGTTCCTGCTTATCTAACTTATCCAACTGCATTTTGGCATTTTGGCATTGCTGGCACAGTATTTGGAAAACACAACTAAGCTTAGTTTACGAGTAGGCATTTCTAGTGCCCAGTGCGCGGAGCAGCTCATGGTTTGGGCGTTTCAAAAGTTCCTTCTGCTTCTGTTTCTGCTGTTGTCAGTTGGCAACGCATTTTGTTCGGGTTTGGCATTGGAAGCGCAACAAACGTTTCCGTTTTGAACTTTGCCATATCCGGCATTTGCTTCTTTGCCATCTATGTTATGTACTTATATACTGCTACATACAAGTATAGCATGTTTGTCTAGCTGCAGACACTCTGTTACATACAGACAGACTTTTAACTTAGTTGTGTTTCAGGTGTCTGTGCGGCAAAGTTTTCAACTTCAGGTGTAATGTGCGGAAATGCTCACATTCAGTCTTGGGCTACGTTTTCTGCTTTAATGTAAATATTTGTGCTTTGACTTGACTTTTAGAAGGTGGCAGCCCGTCTGAGTCCATATGCATACATTTGTATACATATATACATACATACTCGTATGCTTGTATAGTATTAGCTCAGCATGCAATTGAATATTGTAGGAAAGTTTCACAATTCGATGTACACTTTCCCAAACGGCTTAAATAAATTGAACTTAGTGTTAGTACAGCTGTGTGAATAAAAATTGCAGGGAAAATAAAGTTTAACATTGGAAGCGAGCACTTTGTGGGTCTGAAAATAATCGTTTATTCTCGTTTCAAGATTCGCAGCCATCTGTAAAAATAAATAAAACAAGCTTCGTAGTTACTGCCGGTGATAAGGGCTGGTATGTTATGACATACCACAATAACAAAACTCTTCTCTGTGGTGGTACAACATAACAAATAATTTAATTTTGTGCTCTTTTGTGCATTTTAATTGAAAACTTGTGAATTGTGAAGCGGTAGATGCCTCGTGCGTTACGCTTGAGTTATTACGATGAAAATGTTTATTAATACTGAACAATTGCCTTTTTGAAAGTTGTTGGGCTCTAGTTGAAATCGAATTTACAAGCTTTTAACATTTTTTGATTGCATTTCTTATTTTGTATATACAAGTAATTCAAGAAATAAACCTGCTCTTCTTTTATAGCCGAAGGCCAACTATCTTTGCTATGATTGTGCAGCAAGAAATATTCCGATAGGATTTTATAAAAATAGCCACTAATTAAACTCTTACCAGCCATCGGTTGGAAGAACTTTTAATTAAATAAAAAATGCTCTTTCAAGTGAACTAGCCATGTATGTATACATACCCGAAGCTATTGAAATGTGCGCAATTTTTGCGAGAACTGTAATCTGATTTGCACAGTCGGTTCCACTGATAAACGTAGCAGTTCTTACCCGTACTTTGCTCTCACCTCACCTAGCTCTTTCAATTATTTATTGGACATTTCCACAAGTTCTTGTAATTTATAGCAGCATCGTCACAATTTGAGTACGTTAATCGAATCACAGTAAGGGAATTCAGCGTCGTGTGGGCACTAAGTTATTTCGATTTGATACGTTTTAAATGATATCAGTTGACAGACCCTGGTATTTGGACAACAGCTTTTGCCAATCGCTTGCATCGTTGGGGCCGTGATTGACTTTCAGATACCGCGCGTACAGTGGTTCTATGGGGGCAGGTTTATGTGCAAAAGATTTTAATAAATTTGTATAATTTTGATTCATGATATATTTGTATATTTTCTGTATCCCCCATATTCTTAGCATTTTAAATAATTTGGTGAAGGGGAATGGAGTATTTAAGGGTCAGATATTTATATGATTGTGAATATATAATACGAGTATCATGAAACAGAATGACGAGATGAGTCAATTTCGAAACATTCCTCTGTCCGCAATAGAGAGGTGTTTGTACAAGCATAATCTGCTGAGCTTTAGTAGAATATAAAATGAAAAACGAAAAAGCTAGTATACCCTTCCAATATATAAGAGTCGTTAGAGCCCTACAGGAAAATTGCCTCCAGTCCACTATACATCGTTTGCTATCTTATCACAGACCAGAAGTGTCAATGGATAGATATATACGTACTTAGTGCAGACCCCACTGCTATCTGAAACTAAAACAATTTGCATCGCAAATCACTCACTCACTCATACCCGTGACTGATGTCAGCCAATACCAATCGTATTGTTTATGTTCTTTTTTTATACGTTGACCAGCCGCTATAAAAACGAGAGCTGCACTCACGTGAAGCTCAGTGAGAAACTTGGTTGCGACCAAGAATTAGCAACAAGAGCAGACGCAGAAGAAGAAACAGCAGAATGATAGTTACAAAGGCTTTGGTGTGCATCGCCTTCCTGGCGCTCGCCAACGCACAGTTTGCCACCAACTATGTGGCAGGCCGCAACGGCATGGTGCATCTGTTCGAGTGGAAGTGGGACGACATTGCGGCCGAGTGTGAGAATTTCTTGGGACCCAAGGGCTTTGCGGGCCTGCAGGTGAGCCTAAGATTTATTAATGTTGAATAAGTGCTAAATACGCGGTTTTCCCTCAGGTGTCTCCGGTGAACGAGAACGCTGTGAGTGGAAGTCGTCCTTGGTGGGAACGTTATCAGCCCATTTCCTACAAACTTGAAACTCGCTCGGGCAACGAGCAGCAGTTCGCCAGCATGGTGAAACGTTGTAATGCCGTGGGTGTCCGCACCTATGTGGATGTGGTCTTCAATCACATGGCCGCTGATGGTGGCAACACTGGCACTGGTGGCAGCACTGCGCAGCCAAGTAGCAAGAGCTACCCTGCTGTGCCTTACTCGTCGCTGGACTTCAATCCGACCTGCTCAATCACCAACTACAATGATGCCACCAATGTGCGCAATTGCGAGCTGGTTGGTCTGCGCGATCTTAACCAAGCCAATTCTTGGGTGCAGGATCGCATCGTTGATTTCCTCAACCATCTGACTGAGCTGGGCGTCGCCGGCTTCCGTGTGGATGCTGCCAAGCATATGTGGCCCCAGGATTTGGCTGTCATCTACAACCGTCTGAACAACCTTAATACCGCACATGGTTTTCCGTCTGGAGCTAAGCCGTACATCTTCCAGGAGGTCATTGACATGGGCGGCGAGTCGATCAGCAAGTTTGAATATACCGGATTGGGTGCCGTTACTGAGTTCCGCCATTCCGACTCCATTGGCAAGGTGTTCCGTGGCAAGGACCAGTTGCAGTATCTGAAGAATTGGGGCACCGCCTGGGGCTTTGCCGACTCTGACCGCTCCTTGGTGTTTGTCGATAATCACGACAACCAGCGTGGACATGGCGCTGGTGGCGCTGATGTACTCACCTACAAGGTGTCCAAGCAATACAAAATGGCTTCCGCTTTCATGTTGGCGCATCCCTTCGGCACGCCCCGCATCATGTCCTCGTTTGACTTCACCGACACCGATCAGGGTCCGCCCACTACCGATGGCAACAACATTGCCTCGCCCGTATTCAATGCGGACAGCTCTTGCAGCGGTGGCTGGGTCTGCGAACATCGCTGGCGCCAGATCTATAACATGGTTGGCTTCAGAAATGCCGTCGAGGGCACCAGTGTGCAGAACTGGTGGGACAATGGCAGCAACCAGATCGCGTTCAGTCGTGGCAGCAAGGGATTCGTGGCCTTCAACAACGACAACTACGACTTCAACAGCTCGGTGCAGACTGGCCTGCCCGCCGGCACCTACTGCGATGTAATTTCAGGTACCAAGAACGGCTCCTCCTGCACCGGCAAGAGTGTTACAGTGGGCTCCGATGGACGCGCCACAATTACAATTCGCACCTCGGAAGAGGACGGTGTTGTGGCACTTCATGTCAATGCCAAGTTGTAATCGAAAAAGTATGACCTTAATAAAGAGACCCTTTTAAAAACGATATCAATAGGAAAAGTGTAGATAGAATTTCTCTTCAAGATTTATTCTATATTATGGAAATAAATCTAATAACTCATGGGTGTGTAGCTTAAAATTGTTAATCCTTGTGTTGATTTCGATGCTTTTTATGTTTATTAATAAAATAAATATAAGGAAGTGCGGTTTCAATTTATATTCATAGAAGAAGAATAGAATGAAGATAAACTTAACTCTTTTGCGGATCTTAAAGTCAGAGTATAGATGGTCTGAAGAAGATGGATAAAAGCACGAGCTAAAGAGCTGGCACCAGTTAAAGCGCAAAGAAGACAAGCCACCTTTTACAAAAAAATTTTGTTTTTTAATCAGACGGATTACAGAACACTGAAAAGTGCAGTCACAAATTTTACTTTTGGATTAGCCAGTTTTAAATCAAAGTGGCGAAGGGGCCCTAAATATTACTGTAATTATCTTCCTGAAGATACATGCCAGACACATATATGGATGGTTTCGCCGAAGCCACCGACCGATCTGAAACTAAAACAATTTGCATCGCAAATCACTCACTCACTCATACCCGTGACTGATGTCAGCCAATACCAATCGTATTGTTTATGTTCTTTTTTTATACGTTGACCAGCCGCTATAAAAACGAGAGCTGCACTCACGTGAAGCTCAGTGAGAAACTTGGTTGCGACCAAGAATTAGCAACAAGAGCAGACGCAGAAGAAGAAACAGCAGAATGATAGTTACAAAGGCTTTGGTGTGCATCGCCTTCCTGGCGCTCGCCAACGCACAGTTTGCCACCAACTATGTGGCAGGCCGCAACGGCATGGTGCATCTGTTCGAGTGGAAGTGGGACGACATTGCGGCCGAGTGTGAGAATTTCTTGGGACCCAAGGGCTTTGCGGGCCTGCAGGTGAGCCTAAGATTTATTAATGTTGAATAAGTGCTAAATACGCGGTTTTCCCTCAGGTGTCTCCGGTGAACGAGAACGCTGTGAGTGGAAGTCGTCCTTGGTGGGAACGTTATCAGCCCATTTCCTACAAACTTGAAACTCGCTCGGGCAACGAGCAGCAGTTCGCCAGCATGGTGAAACGTTGTAATGCCGTGGGTGTCCGCACCTATGTGGATGTGGTCTTCAATCACATGGCCGCTGATGGTGGCAACACTGGCACTGGTGGCAGCACTGCGCAGCCAAGTAGCAAGAGCTACCCTGCTGTGCCTTACTCGTCGCTGGACTTCAATCCGACCTGCTCAATCACCAACTACAATGATGCCACCAATGTGCGCAATTGCGAGCTGGTTGGTCTGCGCGATCTTAACCAAGCCAATTCTTGGGTGCAGGATCGCATCGTTGATTTCCTCAACCATCTGACTGAGCTGGGCGTCGCCGGCTTCCGTGTGGATGCTGCCAAGCATATGTGGCCCCAGGATTTGGCTGTCATCTACAACCGTCTGAACAACCTTAATACCGCACATGGTTTTCCGTCTGGAGCTAAGCCGTACATCTTCCAGGAGGTCATTGACATGGGCGGCGAGTCGATCAGCAAGTTTGAATATACCGGATTGGGTGCCGTTACTGAGTTCCGCCATTCCGACTCCATTGGCAAGGTGTTCCGTGGCAAGGACCAGTTGCAGTATCTGAAGAATTGGGGCACCGCCTGGGGCTTTGCCGACTCTGACCGCTCCTTGGTGTTTGTCGATAATCACGACAACCAGCGTGGACATGGCGCTGGTGGCGCTGATGTACTCACCTACAAGGTGTCCAAGCAATACAAAATGGCTTCCGCTTTCATGTTGGCGCATCCCTTCGGCACGCCCCGCATCATGTCCTCGTTTGACTTCACCGACACCGATCAGGGTCCGCCCACTACCGATGGCAACAACATTGCCTCGCCCGTATTCAATGCGGACAGCTCTTGCAGCGGTGGCTGGGTCTGCGAACATCGCTGGCGCCAGATCTATAACATGGTTGGCTTCAGAAATGCCGTCGAGGGCACCAGTGTGCAGAACTGGTGGGACAATGGCAGCAACCAGATCGCGTTCAGTCGTGGCAGCAAGGGATTCGTGGCCTTCAACAACGACAACTACGACTTCAACAGCTCGGTGCAGACTGGCCTGCCCGCCGGCACCTACTGCGATGTAATCTCAGGCACCAAGAACGGCTCCTCCTGCACCGGCAAGAGTGTTACAGTGGGCTCCGATGGACGCGCCACAATTACAATTCGCACCTCGGAAGAGGACGGTGTTGTGGCACTTCATGTCAATGCCAAGTTGTAATCGAAAAAGTATGACCTTAATAAAGAGACCCTTTTAAAAACGATATCAATAGGAAAAGTGTAGATAGAATTTCTCTTCAAGATTTATTCTATATTATGGAAATAAATCTAATAACTCATGGGTGTGTAGCTTAAAATTGTTAATCCTTGTGTTGATTTCGATGCTTTTTATGTTTATTAATAAAATAAATATAAGGAAGTGCGGTTTCAATTTATATTCATAGAAGAAGAATAGAATGAAGATAAACTTAACTCTTTTGCGGATCTTAAAGTCAGAGTATAGATGGTCTGAAGAAGATGGATAAAAGCACGAGCTAAAGAGCTGGCACCAGTTAAAGCGCAAAGAAGACAAGCCACCTTTTACAAAAAAATTTTGTTTTTTAATCAGACGGATTACAGAACACTGAAAAGTGCAGTCACAAATTTTACTTTTGGATTAGCCAGTTTTAAATCAAAGTGGCGAAGGGGCCCTAAATATTACTGTAATTATCTTCCTGAAGATACATGCCAGACACATATATGGATGGTTTCGCCGAAGCCACCGACCGATCTTCAAAATGGATAGAATTTTCATCTGCGACTTTCAACTCTAAGCCAACCAAAGCCACAAGTACGTAAAATGTACAACAGAGAGGTATGTATTTCTTATAAAAATTTTATAAAATTATCTACCTTTTGATAAACATCATTAAATTGGAAGCTGTTTTGCATTTTTTCAACTGCTTGCGTATTGAATGCATTAAAAAAGCGTTAAAGGGACATTTAATCCAAAATGTAACCCCCGAGCACAATGCGACCAAATACTGTTATTGTTGCCGTGAGTGTCGTGGCATATACATACATATGTTTTTACACATATTTACATCTACAAGTATATGCATATTTTTTAACTGCGATAATTATGCCTTTTGTTTAACCATTTTATTTAAATTTCAGTAAAAACTTACATATTACTGAAAAAAAAACCATGTTCTTGGAACAGGGAATAGAAAAGTCGACAAATAAAATATATGTAAGTAGATAGTAGAAGGGTTGAGAGGAGAGGGACAAGTTTGGCTAACAAAAGCCAGAGGCCGTAATTCTTGCCAGGTTTATCAAGTGCCCTGCTCTAAGTGAGCTCTTATCACAGAACGCAACGGAGGAATTTATGTGGAAAAGCCGAAAGCGCCTAAAAGCACACTTAAAACATTTTCAAATTAATTAAATTTCAGGGCACAAAGCTCAAGATGGGTCAATGCCGATAAGAGGGCCATTGGAGCTGACAAACGCAGGTGCAAAGCATGCCGTGTGTGAGTAATTGAAGCCAATTTATTAACAAAAAATATTTTGCCATTGAAATAGTAGTTCATGACGTTTTTACCAGTTTCATTGCCGCATGACTCGCATTTCGACTTACCATAAATATGGCACATTATCCGGCAGCTTACATAAAGCACGCACACAAACACATTACCATTTGTCAGTTATGTGTGTATGTGTATGTGTATGTGTGTGTTTAAGTGGCATGCATGCTACGATTTACCAACAATGCAGTTATTTGTGCTCATCACACAAGCACGAGCAAATTTTGTGCTTTTTGTGCCACTCTCTACGTTGTACATTGCAACAGCAATAGCATCCATTTAAATCTGTAGGGCAAATAAGTAGACATAGGTATGTATGTATGTGTTGTATATCTACAAGTATGTAGTAGAGAAGAGAGCTGGAGCTTCAGTTGCAGCTGCAGCAGCAGCAGCAGCAGCTGCACAGAAGGACATACCGTAATGTTGCTGCTTCCTGGCAAGTCAATGTACAATTCGGTTGCATAAAAATATGCACTCATAACTTGCGTCCATTGCCTGCCCTGATATGAATATATGTGCGAAGCTATATCAAAGGATTTTCATGTCATTTACTAGAGGTCAAGTGGGGCACATACACACACGCACACACACGTACACACACATATCCCGTTTTGTACACCGAAGTAAACACAGTCACCCTGTTGCTCGGCGGGTCTACAATTACGCTAGTTCTTAGCCCATCCATAGGCAAAGCCTATAGAATGTTTATGACAAAAAATAAAAATGTTTTAAGATAACTTCGTTGTAGTATTAAGTTATGTTTGGAACTTAAAGAAATTTAAATGAAAGTTGTTGACTGCTGTTTTTAAATAACATAGGTAAGCAGCTAAATAAATAAAGCCCAGGCGACTCATATACGCACACATAAAGACTAAATGTATAAAATACTAATTGAATGAATTGTAGACGTGAAAATTATACTAAATATATATGCAAACCAATTTTTAAAAAAATATAAGATATTAAAATTATTATTATTAGTTATGAACTATATTTATATTTGCTTTCAATTGCATTTCCATCCATAGCTGTTCTTCCCAAATTTGAAATGAGAGAAATTTCTTTAATGCATTACTATAAATTAAACAATTTTGTTCTAACTAGCTAAAACGAATAATAAATTGGAAAGAAATGTATGTTAATTTGGAATAGTAATTTTGATGAAAGTTTGTTGAAGCAGAAAACTATATTTTAGGTTAAGAACTCGAATTAATTTTAGTTAAAGTAACATTCTTTTCATGAAACGAGTGCCAGACCAGAGCAAACAAGTGCTATCCGTAGCTATTCAAATTACTTTAATTTAGAATTTTCAAACATAATGAATGAATATTAAATTTATACAACAATAATATTTTTATGAGTTCTGCGTCCTTTTCTAGCCAAAATGTACATAGTAGTAGTAGTAG